CATATCTCCCGCACCCTTATAGCTATCGAGACGCAACCACCCCTATGCACGAATGGAGACTTGGGGCTACCACCACATACAAACACCATTCATGTGCGATGTGTAATTTTGGCTGAAAAGTGAAATATAGGGACACGCACGTCCATTTTTATATATATAGATATAGATATAGATTTATTTCTTAAAATTATTAATTTTTTATAGATGTATTTCAAAAATCAAAGAAAGATGTTTGCTTAAATAACGTATGCAAATTTTCAGGTGAGACTTATTTTTCTTTATATACTATTACTATATGATTGTTTATTCTGCTATTGTGAATTTCGAATATAATTTCTATTTAATTACTAAATTAGTATTATATATATATTTTCAAAAACAAAAATTCTATACCACATTGACCAGACAAGAAGATAAGATTCCTCTAATAAGCTATATAACGAATTAGTATTGTTATGTAATAAATGATTTCAACTGTTTCTGTTTCTCGTTTGTGCTAAGAAGGACAAGACAAACATGACTCGAAATTACAGGTCACCGAAATCAAATAAATATGTTTTGTAAGTAATTCATATTAAGATTTTACACATTCGAACACATTTTCAATTCAAAATACTGTATACAGTTACAGTTAACACAATTACTAGTTAAATCTATTTAAGAAAGAAGTAAGAAGTAACTATTTTTTAGGTATTAGTTTAAATGCCATTTAGAAAATATACAATAGAGTCAGTGTCAATTGATTTAATAGTGAATATACCACCAACAGCCAATTATTTTTTGTTTTAGTGTTTTCGTTTCAATTTCCGTAAGAAATGCTGAAGTATTTAAGAGCTATAAATTTTAAATTTGATTCACTAAAATAGATGAAACACATTGTACAAACCATAATGAAACAAAATAAAAAACTATAATTAAATAACATTTCATTTTAATAAACTCGATGTACTTTGTTTAGAGAAGTCTTAATAATTTCAGCTGGTTCCATTCTGAAGAATATGGACTTCACCGTAAATCCATGCGACAACTTTTACGAATTTTCATGCGGTTCTTATCTAAAATACGAAAATATTTACGATGATAAAATTCGTAGTTTTACAAATTTAAAAAACTATATCATTTATTTAATAAAAGGCAAGTAATATTTTATTTTAAATAGTAATTTTAATAAGTGGAATAGTAATTTACGTGTAATAAATACAAATACAGAACAATTGGAAAAGCCACAGAATTTCGATGATCCAGCTTTCGTCAAAAAAGTAAAGAAATATTATCAATCGTGTTTAAATAAACGTACGTATTACATTGATTTTAAATTAATAAATTAATTAAATGAGAATAATTAATAATTCTCTATTTGAATTACAGCTAGTGACACAAAAGAGGCAATTCATGAAATTTTAAGTGCAGCTAACTTAGACGGCTGGCCTCTGTCTGAAAACGATAATTCAAAATTAACAATGGAGAAAGCTATGGTATTGTCATACGTGTACGATGGCACTGGAAATCTGTTTAGATTTCGTAGTAGTCCAAATATCTCTTACATACGGGTAATTATCTGCAACTGTAATTGTACTCGTTACTGTAAGTTTTAATAATTTCTAGTAATTTGCTAAAACGTTATCAATATATTGTTTTCTTATAAACTAATATTATAATTAAACATTAACCAATGTCGAATGCTATCGGCTTGAAACGCCTATATAACTAAATAAATTATGCAAATAATTTGGCACTAGAGGAAGGCGTTAGGCGCCATATGTTAATAACTTTAATAATTATAATTTTGAATTTAAAAATTTAAATAATTTAGATCAGTGTTTTTTAATTTTTTGAATACACGACCCCTTTACAAGTTAAAAAATTCTGGCGACCCCTAGGGCCATATTAAAACTATATCAGTGATTTTAAAAACTATGTATTTAATTTCTTTCTGCTGAGACAAATTATTGTTGATTAAAATGAAAATTTCATAGGAATCGATAATAACTTAACACAGATAAAGTATGAAACTTCCTTTAATTATAACATTGGGCACAGGGAGCCGTTGATTTTTTTTTCTTTCTTTCTTTAGAATTAGGATTTTCAGCTTCTACTTTTTATTTATTTTTGCAAATCAGCTCAACACTTTTTCGGCTATGATTTTCTGGGGTAGGCCGTACTCACCCAGGCCCCTCCTTGGCTACATTTATGGTTAAGACCTAAATATCGATCAAAAAATCAATTGTACTGTAAAATAAACAGGTACAGCCTTCTCGCTAAAATTGTAGTTTTTTTTAATGTAGTGTAGGATCTACAAACACTTGTCTTTTTCTTTTACCCGTGACCCCCCGTGTAAAGCTTCGCAACCCACTGGTTGAAAAACACTGATTTATATCTACTGGAAGAAAAAAAACTTCTGCTTAGACGGTTACGCTACCCGGGCCACCGCTTCGATCTCCACTTCCAGCATATACAATCTTACGTTATAAGTATCGACGGTTATTACCAAGGTATATGGAGATAAGGTAACGCAACTCGCTCTAGCGAGAAAAATGCCACTGCGCATGACGTCACCATCGAGAAACTTGATTCAGTGCCGCTTTGTAGTATGTGCTGTTTATATCAGAAACGCAATCTTATAGAAACNAATTTTTAACGATACAATAGTCTTCGTTAGGCTTAACATCGACGAAAATTCAACGCGAAGCGACACGCAACGGATAAAAATTTCGACATCGGATACGTTAAACTATTTTTTCGTACGTAAATCAGTTATCCGAAATATCAGTTATCCGGACAACCACAGTCCCCAATTGTTTCGGAAAATCGACACTCTACTGTATAATTTAAAATTTTTTAATGTCTGGATGTGCAAGCATATGAAGCTTGTCACTTTCTTGCCTTTTTTTTTTTTGGTGTTGTTTGGCGGACCTTTGGATTTTGCTTCCTGCATTTTTATAACGTATCCTTATAAAAAGTCTTGTTTTGATATACAATTTTATTACTTGGAAATGCTTCTTTAATAAAATTTTTTGCAGAGGCCTTTAACGACATTGCTCACTTTGGAAATATTGTTTCCAATAAACAGCGAAAATGTTACTTCCAATTACTTTGAAGTGTTCAGCCAGCTATCTATCGGCATTATCAAGCCACATCGAGACAACTTTTCTATCTAGTCATTGTTCAATTCAGGTGAATAGAGCTTGATTTCTTCCCTGTTATGACCAAGAGACATATCTATTGGCTTGCAACAATGAGCAATGTAACCAGCTAAGTAGCTCAGTCCTTGTTCGAAGCATTCAGCCATAGATACATTAGTTGTGTTTTTAGGTACTTTACCGCTCAGAAAGCACAAAATGGCCAAAAGCCTTGAATACTGATAGACAAGATGGAGAAATTTCTAGTCATTTCTTGCACCTCTGAGTTTCCTTCAATCATCTTAAGTGCTTCTTCCATACTAGGAATTAATCCAGTGAAAGGAAATGATGTAAGGTATTCATCAGCATCTTTGTCAACTGCTACTGGACATGAAGATCATAAGGAAGTGAGCACTGCAAACTGTTTCATTTTCAACTGATCTTCTCGTTTGCAGGCATGAATCCACTTACTCCTAAGAGTAGGATGCTTAGAGAATATGCCACACAACAGTTTGGCATTGTTTAACTTGATCAGTGAATACAAACTAAAAAACTCACATGTCAACACACTATTTAACAGATAAATATTTTAAAATTACAGTATTAAATAAATTTTACCTTATACTTGTATTCCGAGCACCAAACAAAGCTTAAT